CCTGCTGCAGCACCACTTGGCCCGGGCCTTGTGCTTAACCACTGTCCTAAACCGGTCAGACTAGCGAAACCTGAAGGGACCGTTCAGAGAAGCCCAGTGCAGACTCCTTTCTTGGTGTTCGAAAAGGACCCAGCCATTCTCAGACGGTGCCAACACAGCTGCCCTCGTCAGGCTGGTAAAGCCCATTTGTCAGGCAGGCGAAGAAGACTGCAGGGAGTGGAGGGCACCGGAGCACACCGGAGAGCACGTAGAGCCCCAGAAAGAGTCACACTTCGTGGCCGTTTTTTTTAAAGAGCCAGCCTGGGGGGGGGGGGGGGGGGGGGGGGGATACAAATTCAGACATAGCCGCGGGCCTCATGGTATTCAAGGACAGACTTTGCCGACTCTCAGGCCCCGGGTCACAGGCACAGAGGAGAGCTGCTCGGACCATTCACTTATGAGCGAGGCAGACACCCTGGGCCCCTAATAGCTTCATCCTGGATCCTGTCACTTAGTGATAAGGAGCAGGTGGTCCCAGGGGTCACGTGTAGGATTTAAACTAGAGGCTTCAAGTCCAGCTGGGCCAGGTTCCCCGGGAATGATCGGCTGAGGATGGTCACTTCATTCCTTTCTTTTTTTATTAAGAAGTATTTTATTTAACTTTATTTATTTATTCATTTTAATTTGACCAGAAAGGGACAGAGTGAGAGCAAGAGAGAGAGAGAGAGGGAAAGTGAGAAAGCTGGTGAGCTCTGGGACTCGAACCACAGTCAGCCATGTGGGAGTCCAGGTGGGAGTCCAGCACTCTTAACCACCACACCACCTGCCGGCCCCTGGGGATGGTTTTCTTAGGCCAGGCCATGTGGGCAGCAGGCCCAGCAGCAGAGCAGGTGGGAGGACAACCTGTGACTACTCGTAGTAGATGGGGAAGACCTTCACGAACAGAGTGTAGGGCCGTCATTGGGCCCTGGGGGCGGGTATGGAGCCAGGGCCTAGAAGGCACAGGGAGACAGATAACAGCGAGCTGTCAGATCTCTGACCCATGCAGCTGTTCACAATGAACTCCCCATGAGGTGGTGGACTCTCGGGCTCTGGCGGAATCGGGCCACCATTTGGAATGGTCTCTAGAACTGGCCTGGGCTGGGCTGGTGCCCACGGGTGTGCGGGTGGCTGTGTCTGCGCCGTTGACACCCCACGTTCTGTGTCTTTCCTCAGCTGGTCATGCAGTGCCTCTACTACGGCGGCCCTGAATCACTTCTCATTAAAAACAACGAGATAATGGAGGTAAGTAAGGGGTCCCTCGGCGCTGGCCTGTCCCGGTTCTCTTGGGAGAGCAGCACCTCTGTAAACCTGGGACCCTGTGTGTGTCAGCCACAGCTGGAGGGAGCAGTGCGGGGTTTTCATTTGGGTGAGGTTTTTGGGCGTTTGCTTCTTCCTGGCTCCTTGTCCTGCCCCCAGGAAGGGCATCTCCTCAGAGCCCTCCCCTGAGAGGTGGGGTACTTGTGAGCTAGTCCCCATCCTGTCAGTAGCCACCAAGGGTGGCTGTAGAGGACAGGTGAGGGACAGTTACTGAAAAGCCTGAGGCTAGCTCTGTCTCTGGTCTCCAGAGCGTTGACATCACCACCAAGAAATGTCCTAAACAGCTCCTTCTCCCTCTTTTTTTTTTTTAATTTACTTTTCATTTTCTTCCATGAGCTAGAAAGATAGATAGTACCCCTAATGGGACCTAAAGCCACGATACACCCCCAGCCTCAGCCAGCCTCAGATCGCAGGCACCTGGTAAGGTCTCCAGACTCAAACCGCAAACCCTCCCACGTGGGCCAGCCTTGTGGAGTGTCACATCCCACTGTGCCACTGTCCATCCCTCTCCTTTGTCATTTTTTTTAAAATACCCTTAAAACACTCCTCAAATCAACCTTTGTCAGTTCTTCCAAGATGCGGAAGCAGAGAGCATATTACAGACTCTAGCCAGCTTTCCTGAGGGGCCTCCCTCCCTGGGTCACTCTCCTGCCCCCATCCAGGTCTGAATTGAACCATCCCAACCCCACGTCCAGGAGCCTGGGTTCTGGGCTCTTCTGTCAAAGGCCAGGATTTCCCCGTGTCTTTCCAGAAGTGGAACTCTTGTCATATTCCCACTCAAAGCTGGGAACTTGAACCAGAAGCCGAAAGTCACCGCAGTGGTCCTCAGCAGAACAGCCAGGTCCCTGCGGGTGTCTGAAGTCCGTTGCTCAGGAGGAGAACCCCGCATGGTGGTTAAAACGTGGCCAGACTGGGTTTAAATCCAGGCTCTGCCACTTTGACTTGTGTTACTTTGGCCATGTTATTTAACCTCTGCACCTCGGTTGCCTTGCCTGTAAACTGAGGATAACAGCTTGTACCGCGCTGGGTCCGGGAGAGGATCTGTGAAGTTCTTATACGGTGCTTGGAACTGTGCTCAGCACTTGGCGACTGCCGCAGGGCAGCATTCACATCGAGGCCACTTTACCTTCTAACTCTGAAACCTCCTGTGGTCCTCCACCCCACCCACCCGTCTCCCAGCACACACACAAACGCAGCGTCTGCAGTTATTTTCAAAGCAAAGTAATCAATTCCATTTCAATCATGTCAATCATACAGGAGGGCCTATAATAAAAGGCAGCTGAATCCCCCCACCCACCCTGCCCAACCCCTTCCCCAAAGGCCATCTTGCTTTTAGTTCTTTCCGCCCTCCCCAAAGCCTACCACTCCCATCCTCATCTGTTGAGCACGTCCCGTGGTCACCACGCCTGCGCTGGACTCAGGGCAGGATTCAGGCATGATTGGAACTGTCTCTTTAATAAGAGAGACAGCGTGGCATCATGTCTGGTGTGAGGACAGGTACGACAGGGTGAAGGACAGACTGACGGAGGAAGGCCACCCGAGACTGGGCAGTCTGAGAGGCTCCTCTGAGGAGGTGACATTTGAGTGGTCAACAGAGGGAATGAGTCTCATCAGTATCCGGCCTGCTAAATAATACTATTCACTCTTATTCTGGGTAAGAACGTTAGGTGTTGGGGGCCGAATCTGGCTCACTGCCTCCCAGCTCCCACCTTTCCCATAATAGAGCTCACTCGCTGTGTCTTGCTCCCCTGTGCTTTATTTATTGCACTTTTTACCTTTTTAAGTTTATTTATTTCTTCCTTGAGAGACAGACAGTCAGATATTTCTAACGAGGCCTTAGAATGGTGATCCACCCCCAGGCTCAGCCAGCCCAGGTTGTGGGCCCCCGTGAACCCAGAGTGCTCAAGGAGATTCTGAGACCCGAACCCAGGACCTACCCATGTGGGCCCACTGTGCCACAGCCCGGTCCCCTTTGTGCTTTATTTCCCATGCCTCCCCTGTGACACTTCTGTGGAAGACGGGGATTCTTGTCACCACTGTATTTCCTTGTCACCCCTTTCCTGGCACCTCCCAACGTCTAACAGGCGCTTTCTGTGGCTTTTAGCTTCTGTCTGCTGCGAAGTTTTTCCAGCTGGAGGCTTTGCAGCGACACTGTGAGATCATCTGTGCAAAGAGCATCAACACCGACAACTGCGTGGACATTTACAACCACGCCAAGGTAACCCTCCCGTTCTCGCCACCCCCACACGTGGCCGAGCTGAAGCGGGGGTGGGGGGCACCCTGAGGCAGGGCAGAGAGCTGCTGCGGGGATCGCTCACTCAGGGCTGAGCCTCCAGACTCTGCACAAGGTCCGTGTCCTGCTCTAGCGAAGGTGCTGCCCTCATCCTCCCTCCCTCCAACATACAAGGAAGGAGGAACTCGGAAGTGAACCCTCAGACAGTGCTTTCCCGGACTCTAATGTGCACACGCATCACACCAGACTCCACTTCCACAGGCCTGGGCTGGGCCTGGGTTCTGCTTCTCTAAGAGCGCCCAGGTGATGTCAGCTGCTGGTCTGAGTGACCTTTGAGTAGCAAGGCGTGGGATCGGCGGTTCTCAGAGTATGAGCTCGGGCCCAGCCACATCAGCATCATCAGGGGACTTGGCAGAAACGTAAGTCTGAGGGCCAGCAGGTCATGTGGTGGTTAAGGCCCTGGATCCCATGTGGTCCCCTGAGTTCAAGTCCCATACTGTACAACTTGAAAAACACCAGGCACGTGTGCATCAGTGCCCAAAACCCTAAGAGGAAGGGAGAGGAGAGGGGATTGCGGTGTGGCCTCCGCCTGCAAGGTGCTTTCCACTTTCCCTCCCTCCGTTTCTCTCTGTGGCAAATGTATCTACCCTACAGCAAGTCTTTTAAAAAGAGAGAAGAAATGTACGTTTTGGGGGCCGGCAAATGGCATGGTGATTAAGGGCCCTGGACTCCCACATGGCTGACCGTGGTTCGAGTCCCGGACCTGGCAGCTTGCTTTTTCACTTTCCCTTTCTCTCTCTCTCTCCCCGCTCTCTGTCTCTGTCTCTGTCTCAATCTGATCAAACTAAAAAAAGAAAGAGAGAAAGAGAAAGAAAGAGGAAGTAAAATAAAATAATTCTTTAAGATAAAAATGTACGTTTTGGGGGCCCCCACCCAGCCCTTCGGAATCAGGTGGGGCCTACCCATCTGTGGTATCACGCCTCCCTCTGCTGATCCCGATGCACCACTCACGGGGGAGAGACTGGTCTGGAGTTGTCCTCCAAGCTGCACATGAGAACCACTTGGGTGCACACTTAAAATCCCTGGGCCTGGGACCTACCACAGACCAACTGGACAACCTCTGGGGGTGGGACCTGGGAAAAGGTAGCCGCCATGCGATTCTCAGATGCGGTCAAGGCTGAGAACAGATTGTCAGCGTGGGCGTGGTCCTCTACGTCCACACCTGGCCACAGACCAGACTCTCCTGGGCGCTTTCTAAATACCTGTTTTAGTCCCTTAGCATGTGCACACATATGACCATAGTAGCGTCCCCCCAGGAGGACCAGAAATCTGTGTTTTTAACCAGCTCCTACGGGGACATTAGTCCTAGGACAATCTTCACTCCAGTTTTCAGGAACCACTGGTTTGACCCAATTCATTTCTCAGGTCTAGAGACCAGACCCAAAGGAAGTCAAATAATTCGTTCAGAAGCCACTAGTCTTGTTCATGTGCTGAGCACCAGGGGATTAATAGTTACTAAAAAGGGGGGCAGCAGTTGGCGTAATGGCTATATCGCTGGACTCCCATGTAGTTAACTGTGGTTCGAGTTCCGGACCCGGTGGCTTAAAGTCATGCAGGCACATGTGCGTGCATGCCCAAGATCCCAAGAGGAGAATGGAAGAAGGAGAGATTGCACTGTGGCCATCCCCCTGGGGGGTGATTTATCGCTTTCTATCTCTGTCTCTCTCTCTTTCTGTCTTTCTGATGAGTTCACGTACCCTATAGCCAAAACCTCTGCAAAAAAGAAAATAATAATAATAATTGCTAAAAAAAACCATGAGGGACCAGCTGGTTGCATAGTGGTTAAAGTGCTGGACTCCCACATGGCCAACCACAGTTCAAGTCCCGGACCTGGTGGCTTGAAAATCCCACCAGGTGCATGTGGGTGCATACCCAAAATCCCAGGAAAAGGGAATAGAAGAGATTGTGGCATGGCCCTCTCCCATGGGGGGTGATCTCTCTCTGTCTCTTTCCAGTGAGCGCCCATACCTTATGGCAAAAATCTTAAGAAAGGAAAAAAGAAACCATGAAACCAGTGACAATGAGGAATTAGTTTCAAACAAACAAAAGGTCCTTCCTTTGTATAACTGGAGCTCAGTGCACATGCCTTCCTGCCCTTAGCTCTGCAGGGTGACAGCTGACATGAACAGTGCCCTCGGTGGCTCCTTGTGAAAATCAGGTCGCCTTCAAGATGGTCCTTGCTTGTCTGAGACCAACATTCTGTGAGCCCTTGAGTGTGCAGGCACCGGAGCAGATGGCTGTGCTGTATCATTTTAGTCCTCACCACAACTCTTTCAGGACAATGCTGTGCCCAGTCCCCTGTCATAGGAAGGAGACTGAGGCACGGGGCTGAATAACTTGCTGCAGGTCACAAAGCCAGTACTGAGATTTGTTGATTATGGTAAAATATACACAACAGAGGAATTTCTACCTGAACCCTTTTTAGATTTTTGCCATAAAGTACCTGCACTTGTTGGAGAGAGACAGAGAGACAAGAAAAGTAAGAAATTAGCCCCCGGGGGGAGGGGGACGGTCACAGTGCAGTTACCACCCCTCCATTCTCCTCTCAGGACTTTGGGCACCCATGCACACTTTCCTGGCATGTTTTCCAGGACTCAAACTGCAGTTGGCCCTGTGGGATCCGGTGCCTTGACCACTGGGTCACCTCTGGCCCATTACGTTCACCACTGTTAAGAGTGCCACTTGGTGGCATAAAGGCCACACTGGTGTGTAACCGTGACGCCTGTGCCCTTTCCCCCCAGCTCCACACTCCTCTCCACCTCCCCAGCCCTTGGTAACCACCATTCTACTTCCAGTCTCTGTGCAGGCGACAACTCGAGGGACCTACATGTAGTATCGTACATGGAGACTCCCAAAAGTTCATAACAAATACATATTATGAAAAAAACATGCATGGATTTCAATTTTGGGGGCAAAAAATAAGCTCATTTTGTTTCATTTTTCCACAACATTTTTGAAATCCCCTCGTACAACGGTTGTCCTTTAGTGACTCGGCATAATATCTTCAAGGTTCGTTCATCCGTGTGGCCACGTGTGTCAGGATGCCCTCCTATTAGGGCTGAATAGTATTCCGCTGTGTGTGTCTCCCCACTCAGCTGGCGATGGGCACGCAGTTGCCTCCCCCTAGTGGCTGTTAGAAATAACGCTGCTGAACACAGGTGCGTGAGTGTCTGTGACGTCCCTGCGTTCAGTCCTTCTCACGTGTAACCCAGAAGTGTCAGGCCGAGATCTGATCCTCAGCTTGTCTCATTCCAAACACAGGTTCTTAACTGTCTAGCCTAAGAAAGATTTGAAATATTTCCAATAATTCTTGATACCCAAAAATGATTTTCCAATTGGCCATCAGCGAATCAGAGTACAGCCAGCCTGCTTTCTCCACACACTGTTCTGGGTAAGTGAACAGTATACCAAAGTCTGCTTTCTCAGGACACACTTTTATTTTTAAAAATTTTAAACTAATTGCTTTGCAAAAGTGCAGCCAGAAAGACTCTTTCAATACAAGAAGAGAGCCCATGCCCTGGCCATGGTCACTCAGGGTCATTGCCCCATGAACCCAACAGTGACTTTTCTGTGGCCTGCCACTGTGGCAGTGGGCCTGCATGCCATCATCGCACCTTAACCCTTGGCAGGCAGCTTCGTTAGCACAGAGCGTTCATAACGCAGCCCGATGCCACGTCAGCCCCAGCTGGTGAGGCCAGCCTAGACTCCCTGTGGCAGAGAAACTGCCGCGTTCATTTCTACACCTTTGCAGAGGGGCTTTGGCTTTGACAGACCCCAACCTCTGCCTCTGCCTTCCAGGCCACATCCTAGAGTGTATCTTGTTTCTGCAGAAATACCTACCCTTCGTGATGCTGCGTGGAGCCAGGGCTGTTGCCAGCCACCCCTCTGCTCTTTCTAAGCATGACTGCCCCGTGCTGTGGATTCTGCAGTGCCGCTAATGGTCACATGCCATGTGGAGTCTGTTACTGGCAGATTGTGCTGCAAATTGAGGCTAATTTAGTAAAAGTGGGAAAGGAAGAAAGTTGGTTTGGAACCGCAGGAAATATAGGCATGTAGATGCGGATACCCCAGCTCCAAATGTTAGCAAGGGCCCAATGGTACCTCCATGCTGTATCTCACCGCTCAGACAGCTGTGGGGTCTCATACAGATGAGAAGTCAGAAATGCATGGCTCAGCCCCCTGTGATACCCATCAAAGCTGTCCTGAACAGCTCAGTTATGAAAAAGAGGCCTTGGGAGCTTTTGATGGCCCTTTCAGGGTGTCGTTCAACTTGGGAAAAGAAGAGCAAGCGGGTTCATCATGTTGAATTTCAGTAATGCAGTCAGCTCAACAGAGCACCATGATGGAAAGGGCTCAGGGTTAGGGAGCCAGCTGATGGTATAATGGTTATGTCGCTGGACACCCATATAGTCGACCATGGTTCAAATCTCAGACCCAGCGGTTTGAAATTCACACTGGGCACATGTGCGTGCTTGCCCGAAATCCCAAGAGGAAACTGGAGAAGGGATTGTGGCATGGCCATCCCTCCCAGGGGATGTCTCTCTGTCTTTCTGGCAAACACATGCACCCTATAGCAAAAATCTCCCTAAAAAAAAAAAAAAAAATTTGATTCAGAAACCAAGGGGCCCATTCACAAAAGTTTATTAAGTGCCCACTATTTAGGAACTGCCTTGTCAGAATACAATAAGACAATGTCAGACGCGATTTCTGCCCTTATAAAAATTACAGTCTAGGTCCAGGGTCAGCAAACATGGGCTGTAAAGGGATAAATATTTTCCTCTGGAGAGCATGCAGTCGCTTTCGTACTGGCGTGGCTTTGTCCCTCTAGTGCAAAAGCAGCCACAGGTGATATGTAAACAAATGGTGTGGCCGTGTCCCAGTAAAACTTTATTTACAAAAACAGATGACGCACCAGATTCGGCCTGTGGCATTTCCCACCCGCTAGTCTAGATGAGCGCTCCTGCCCTGTTCTGTCTGTAGAGTTGTGTAAGACAGGTCGATGGCTGGTGTGGAGTCACCATTCAACAAGCACTACCAAATGTTATAAGGACATGTATTTATGATTCTTGCCATCCTTCACTTGTGCTGAGTGGTACTTTTTTTTTTTTTTTTTGAGATATTTTTGTTACAGGGTGTGCATGCTCTCCAAAGAGACAGAGAAACAGTGAGAAATCACCCCCCTAGGGGGGATGGCCACGGCGCAATCCCTTCTCCTCCATTCTCCTCTCAGGATTTTGGGTGGGTACGCATGCACACATGCCAGGCATGAGTTTCAAGCTTCTGGGTCAGGACTCGAACTGCGGTTGGACACATGGGAGTCCAGTGCCTTAACCAGTACACCACCCACTGGCCCCAAGTGACGCTTATTTATAAAACAAGTGCCAAGTGTTGTAGGGGCTATTGCTGTGTCCATAGAACGAGAGATAGGCAACTCTGAGCCTCAGTTTCCCCATCTGTACAGTGAAGCCGTGTTCTCCATGGTTCGAAGAACAGGGTTCATGTTGAAAAGTTGAAAACATTCCTGTGATTGCTCACAGGTACAGGACCCTGTGCCTCTGTGAGCATCTGTGTGATAACACGCCTGCCTTCTGATAAGCCCGGCAGAGACCACAGAGCATGGCACCCTCCCTGTCCACCCTTGCATTTTATAACTTGAGAAACCAGGATCAAGAGAAGAGGTTCTGGACCAGCAGTTAGCATAATGGTTATGTCGCTGGACTCCCACGTAGTCAACCACAGTTCAAGTCCCGGATCC